CGAACGCGCCGGCAGATCTCCACCAAATTCGGGGGATCCCTTCAGCTCGAGGAGCCCTCTCGAACGCCACCCTCCGCGCATCGGTAGCCCACCAGGATCGCTAGATCTGTCGGCGCCAGACCGCGAGTTTAACCACCCGTAACCCTCCGCGCATCGGTAGCCCACCGGGATCGCTAGATCTGTCGGCGCCAGACCGCGAATTTAACCACCCGTAACTCCCGAACCCTATCGACGGGGGGGGTGGTCTCATTCGAAAGAGGGCCTTGAGACGTACACTCGATTCGTGTTCGAGAGGGTTCCTTGAACTGAAGAGATCCCTCGAATTTGGTGCGGATTCGCCGTGCCGTTACGGAGATATGGCCGTTCAAAGTTTCAATGGTTTTCCATTGACTTAAGCTTTAAAGCGTTTCCTCCAGGTCGCCAGTAGCAAACAATGGAGCTCTGCTGGACAAACTAAGTAATTACACCATTTCAAGCATTTTATCTGCATTATATGTTCGGTAAAAAAAATTTTCATATCGGTGGCATATTCGCCGATACCGATATATCGGCGACAGGCTCATTTCGGCAAAACGATATATCGGTCGGGCTCTAGTTTCGTGAAGCGGTGCTTCGAAAGCGCCCATCACTAGGACTACGACAGTATATGATTTCTTATAATTATTATTATAATTTTCATTATAATAAAGTATATAATAATGCAATGCCTTTATCACTGTTTAGAATAATATGAAATATGTTGCATGTCTTATTCTGTGTAAGAAGCCACATCATCTCACAGAAGGATTTATTTCAAACACTCGACTGACGTTATGAAGTGAGTTTGGAGTAAAAACATGATATTAAATGTGGCATTTTCACGTGCTTTCAGATAGAGCAGCATTTACTACACAGAGCCGTTGTTCACTGAGAAGCTACGAAAACAGCTGTCATTATCGCGAACGATTTCTTCAATTTCATAATCGCGTGATTAAATATGAAATAATTATGATTATGCAAATTATTATTATTTTTTGCATAGCTTGTCAGTGAACTACGGCTCTGTGTAGTAAATGCTGCTCTATCTGAAAGCATGTGATGGAGACTTACTGCTAGAACCGGCTTTACTGACAAGATGCGCATGACAATAGCATTCGATTAATCGCGCAGCACTGGCTGAAAGCGTGTGTGTGTGTGAGATCTGTGTTTCTGGTGCTGTGTGCCAGTGATTGTTGTGATTGTGTTGGTTCTGATCAGAGCTGCCCACTAAGAAACAGCAGCTGCAGGCTCTCAATCTGCTGGTGCTCCTGCTGCCCGAACCCAACAGAGACACTCTCAAGGTACGACACACCTTCACTGCGCATTCACACTTCACACATTCACTTCACTTTTCCTCAACTCTAAATTGACATCTGATATTTGTGACTATCAGTCAACTAATTTCCCCTTAAAACGCATCTTTGATAATCAAAGTGACATTTAAAAATTGTTCCCCATTAAAATAATTTCTTTATGCCTTAAAAGGTCTTGAATGTAACTCTCTACAACCTAACCTCATTTCATATACACAGACTTGTGAATATGCATATTAGTCCCCGCCTCCTCTCAATCACTGACCCACTCCAGTCTCACTCAGTTAAGTGAAGCAGTGAATGCTACAGTATAGCAAGTGGCAATATTGGATTCATTCAGATATATATGATCAAACTTATTCTAATGAAGAAGAGGAAGTGTGACTTCTACAGCATCGCCTACATGTATCAGAATGGTAATGCATTTTATGTGTCGCTCTCTAAAACATCAGACATTTATCGGTAATTCCTGTCATAAGCCTTTTGCTTGACTATGTTGTCAGACAATTTTATGCCAAAAATCATACATGCAGCATGAGCAGTTTTTAATCTAAATTGCATTGTATAATTTCAAAATTTGAAGCAAAAACCGAATGGTCTGACTTTAGTTTTGTGAAACTATACTACATAAAACATCTGAATGGAACGAAAAAACAGCAGACGAGACGCAAATTCACTCTCTGCCAGCAGGTGGCGCTTATGGAGCAGCAGCAGTGTTGACAAGTCCGCAGAATTGGGCTATTGTTGCTGCTGGTTGTTTTTCCATGTTTTTCCCCAATAACGTGATATTTAGTCCCTCAAATTCAAATTTTACCAGGGAAACCCCTCCCAAAAAACGTGTATTTTACCCCCTGAACGCGATTGGGCTAGTTTTGGGCTAGTTTTAAAGGGGTCATATGATGTGATTTCAAGTTTTCCTTTCTCTTTGGAGTGTTACAAGCTCTTGGTGCATAAAGAAGATCTGTAAAGTTGCAAAGACTAAAATCTCAAATCCAAAGAGATATTCTTTATAAAAGTTAAGAGTCAGCCACGCCTACCTAAAACGTCTCGTTCTAACACGCCCCCACATGTCTACATCACTATTTGGGAAGATTTGCATAACACCGCCCAAATGTTCATGCAAAGAAAGAAGGCATAACTTTTATTCTCGCTGTAGTATTGTTGTTGCCGCCATGTCGTGAAGACGCTGTGTTTCGTTGTGAAAGCGAAACTACTTTGTTTGGTCTTCCAAAAGAGGACGATATCTGCTTCGTCATGCCTAGAGCTGATCCGTGCTGGTCGCTGAGGAAATACTACAACTTCCCTCTGTGGATCGCCGGATCGGCTTTCACCGTGGACGAAGCGGAGTCCAGCCTGGGGTCGTCACATGTGGTTGCCGCAAGCCCGCCGGAAGTTCCTTCGTTGAATCCTCCGGCCGCGCCGTTCTCAAGCCCCCGGCCTCTGCTCAATCTAGCCGCTGTGTGTGCTGTGTTTCGTTGTGAAAGCGAAACTACTTTGTTTGGTCTTACAAAAGACAGTCTATGTACAATGCCGGCTGTCCTGACTCACAGCCTGTAAGTACGTTTTTTATATTTAAAAAATTTGCCACTGACGATTCAAACGCGAGTTTTGAGCAGTGTAGAGTAGCGCTTGTTGTTTGTCGTTTCTCCAGACATGGTTTTGTTTACGCGGCGCAACGTGTAAAAATACAGTATAAGTCATTATAATCAGTAATTATGTCCCCACTGGATGCAACAAATGCCTCGTTTATAATGGGTTTTAATGTTTTTGTCTCATCGTGCCGAGACACGGCATCACAGTATGGTGAGGGGCGTAACATTTCCATCACATGCTTGAGGTATTCGGCCAATCACAACGCACTGGATAGCTGGCCAATCACAGCACACCTCGCTTTTCAGACCGATGAGCTTTGTAAAAATCGACGTGTTTCAGAAAGGCGGGGCATAGAGGAGAAACAATAATGTACAGTATGTGGAAAATAATGTGTTTTTTGAACCTTAAACCGCATAAACACATTTCATTACACCAAATACACAAAATAATGTTCTTTTTAGCAACATCATATGACCCCTTTAAGCAGTAATTGGGTGGGTTTTGTTGCAAACACCTGGCAACCCTGAACAGCAGCGATACAGTGTTTCCTTGGTTGCTACTGTTACAGCAGCGCTGCAGTTATGAACACTACTTTAATATGCATTACAGAGGCAAGATGAAAAGAAAATACCATCTGAACTTTCCTGAAGACAGTCTGTTCCCCTCAGAGATACATTCATATAAACTCCCACCCTAATTGTATCGCCATTCATTTAACATCTCAACCGATTTGAATTGATTTTCAACCGGCTCGCAGTGCATCGTTACATCCCTAATTATAACTGAATCTCATATCTGAAGATTCACTACAGATAAACAAATAGTTGCAATACTCTGCAGTTTAAACGTTTGGAATTGGCTGCATTTATTTGATCAAAAATACAATAAATATTTTAATTTAAAACAGCTGTTTTCTATGTGAATATCTGTTAAACTGTAATTGAAGACTGGAGTAATGATGCTGAAAAATCAGCTTTGATCACAGAAATCAGCGTCACATGATCTTCAGAAATAATTCTAATATGCTGATCTGCTGCTCAAGAAACATTTCTGATTATTATCAATGTTGAAAACGGTTGTGCTGCTGAATGTTTTTGTGGAAACCGTGATGCATGTTATTTTTCAGGATTCACAGATGAATAGAAAGATCAAAAGAACAGCTTTTATTTGAAATAGAAATCTTTTGTAAATGTCTTCACTGTCACTTTTGATCAATTCAGTGTGTCCTTGATTAATAAAATCATTAATTTCTTTAATACTTCAATTCATTTTCTGTGAAATCACTACTCTTCTACTGTGATGCTGTAGAAATAGTGACCAACAAAAATAGTGACCAAATAATAAATAGTGACCAACAAAATGTTCTGTTGCTCGAATACCAGAACACATCGTACGTGAAGCTGGAAGATGGAGATGCTCAGATGACTCTTTTCTTCTGTCTCAGATTCCCAAGTTCATCCTGAATCAGGTGCGCAAACAAAACATGGAGAACCAGCGGAAGATGAACAGAGACAGAGCGGTTAAAAAACTACTGAAGAAGATGGCGTACGACCGCGAGAGAGCCTCTAACAAACAAGAGAGCAACGCTGAGGTGAGAGGAGCTACACAAACACAGAGCAGTACATTGAACCGAAGGATATAATCAGACATCTCAGACACCTTCACAGTTGTGTGTCAGTGTTTCTGAGTGAATCAGAGAATGTGAGCAGCCTCCGCTCTGACACCTAGTGGACACACTGAGCAACTGCATGCAGTGACTGTCCTTCATCTGCTGTGAGTGTGACAGAAATGTATGGACATGCTGAAATATAAGATACAAGGCTCTCAAAGGGTGTTATTGTTATACACAGAAAATATCCTGCAGATACAGACACTTGATTTGATATGTTAACCCTATAAAACTACTGCTTCAAATTTGATTGTTATTTTAAATAAGGCCTCTAAATGATCAGCATGTTTCACACAATCTAGTTAGAAGGCATTTTAGTAAATTGTAGACACGTCCAGCTTCAGCTGCAGCTTCAGTGTCTTTCTGCTATCAAATCTTGACTGATTTTTATCAAGTAAAGGTCAGAATAACTGCAGTAATATCTCCAGATGAACACTTACTGGACTGAAGCAGCTCAGCTTTACTTGATTCTCCATCAATCATGTTTTAGAGTCTCAAATCTGATCCTCAGGATCTTTTGAGGAGCGTTTGTTTCCAGAAGCTTTACTTTCACTGTTCCTCAGCGGAGGAATGATCTTCACAAGTATCAATATTGGTGTGTGTTCGGTGCGTGTGTTTATGGTGTGTTCGGTGCGTGTGTTT